TAAGCAGATAATTTTTTTACTTCTTTGAACCATCGGTATAATTTGCAAATAACTAAAGGAGCATGGGGGTGATGCAACAAACAAAGATAGGATAATTGCTAATAAGGCACTTTGAGCAACTAGGGTAGTAATTTGCAAAGCCCTAAAGGAATGTCAACCGATACACAGTAAAAAAGAAGATATAATTTGTGGAGATGGTGCTCAACATATCGAAAGGGAGACAAAGCTTCATCTAGTTGGTCCCAAATATTTTGGACAGAGATTTTTGTCGTCGTGGTGGTTGTTGTTGTCGTCATTGTACTAAAATATCTCCAAAAGAAGAGAACCTACCAATCACCAAACGCTAATTGAATACTTAAAATAAGTATTAAAAATTAATTATTTCCAACAAAATTCCACTTAAGTTCAACATTTGAAAAATTCTAAAGGAAATTCCACTTTAAGTAAAAGTATAGTCAGATTTAATCCCAATTCAAATATGTTAAAACCAATTAGACCCTGAAGAAAAGCTCATCCCATGTATACAAGATAATGTCCTTGATAACAAGGTTTTATCATTGTCCAAATAAATATTAACATCATTGTTGAGAGTCAAGAATAATCTGCAAAAACCTCATGGAAACAAAAGTTACAGAGCAAGCAAACCTGCTCAAACCATATGAAAAACAACGGAATGGATGAAATGTCTGCTTCCAGGAAATCAGGGAATATAATTTAGTATCTTGATAGAACTGATATGACGCCGATTCAATCATCCCGAGAAAATGAGGATTTCAAAGTGAAGATTTGGTGTTCTATTGTATTAAATTAAGAAATCATATCAACTACCAACCAACACATAAATAAAAAGGAGAGAAATTTCAGATCCAAACTAGTAGACAATCACAATTACAACAAATCCTAACAATAATCGAAGCTCAGAAGCATAAATAAAATCCACATCTGAGCTAAAAAATTGTTTTTTTTAACATTTATTATTGAAGTTCACAAAAGGCAAATCAATCCAAGTCTATTAAATTAAAAAAAACAATTTAAATTACCACTGAAGCTCAATGAATATAATTCAGCTAAAACAAATTAATTAATGTTATAGAGAACATAGATTATCAGTAAGCATAATTCCCAATGTAAACTAGATTCGATCAAAATATAGCAACTTCCTGGCCCAAATCCGAGCAGGACTGAATTACAATGTTCAAATTAGCAACTTATCAAAAACAAAAGACAACTCTAAGCTCTGCTTTCAGTGCATTGAAAACAAAGGTGCCAACTTTCACAGTTAAAGCAAATCAAAATCCAAATCCAAGCAGAACCCACTATTACAATCAAATCAAAGGAAATTATACCTGAAGGAGATTGGCAATGGTCTCGACAGTGGCAGTTTTGTTAATCCCAACCTCATAGCACCTCACAATAAAGCTCTCCTTATACGAGAGCCCATCCTCAAGCAAACTCCCCATCCTCAATCTCTCAGCCAGCCCCTTCTCCTTCTCCGTCGCCGGAGAAGCAGCGGCAGATAACTCCAACGCGGAGCACCGCACGGCGGCGGCGGCGGAGGAGGAGGATAAGGACGATCTCTCCGCGGAGCACCGGACCGCGATGGGGATATTAAGGCGGGAACGGCGGCATTGGGCGGGGTAGGCGACGGGGCGAGCTGCCGCCGCCGAGGCCCTCAGCATGGCTTTTGCTTTTAGATTCGGGATCTAAGAATCTCGGCCGTCCGCGTTGTTCGGGTTTTTTTTTTTTTTTTTTTGGTAATAAGTAGAGGATCCTGAATAATTAGAGGTCGTCGTGGTCGATGAGAACGAGGAGTCGAGTCAGCTGGGTTTGGAGTTTGGGGACTGACTTAAGAAGTAATTTCGATTTTGCCACGGATGTTTTTTTTGGGATGTTTCGAATAACCCTGCTCTCGCCCATTTTTAAATAACCCCCTGAACTTCAATATATATATCATTAACGCGCTAGCTGGTCTCCAAAACTCCAAAAAGTTTTTAAGTTTTCCACGTTAGCCTTGCCGAAAATCCTTTTATATATGTATACTAGTTTTTATACACGTGCAATGCACGTGATTAAATATAAAAATACTTTATTTTTTATTTTATTACTATAAATATGTCAGTTTCGTTTTAATTATTAGATTTGCTACAAGTCTTATTTAAACATTATAAAAAAAATGATGTAATGGATTTTTGTGCTAAACTGGGATCAATATACTTAACCGGGATATCATAATTGATTTTCGCAGAAAAAAATGTCAATTGACATAATAATATATATCTTCAAGGATAATAATAAAAGAAAATAAGTTAAATTGATACTACATGTCATATTCTAAACTCTACTAATCCCAAGCTATAATATGGAGTCAATGATGAATAGCAGTATCATTATGAACTATAAATTCTGGCAATAAAAAAAATAATATTTTTATTGCATTGAAAATAGAATTACACTGCACTTTTTAACATTATAAGCTCATGTTTTATAATAAACAAACTCAAAAGCAAACATAAAAAAATACAATAAACATGATATATATATATATATATGAGATCTGAGCCTACATTATTTGATAAACATAAAAAAATACAATAAACATGATATATATATATATATATGAGATCTGAGCCTACATTATTTGATAGACTTAAAATAATAAAAAAACAAAAACTAAATATTAATGGTAACTATAGTATAATTTTATGTGATAAAAGCAATCACATAAGCATACAAAAATACTAAAAATTTTGCATGAAAATTCATTCTAAAAATTCCTAATTTTACTCAAAAAGTAAGTTATAGTATAAAATGTTCAAAAAATATTATTATTTATTCTTTTTATTTCATATTTTGATTGAGCCGAGATCAATCGTTCTCCACCTTTATCTTTTTATTGAGCAATTCTAGAGTAGCGTCTCCACCATCTATATTAATTGTGATATCAGGTTAGAGTTAAATTTCTTAAAATTAATATCTTTAAATAATAAAGTTCAACACCAAAATCAACCCATTTATTTTTGCCCCCTAGAGTAGCGTCTCCACCATCTATATTAATTGTGATATCAGGTTAGAGTTGAATTTCTTAAAATTAATATCTTTAAATAATAAAGTTCAACACCAAAATCAACCCATTTATTTTTGCCCCCCCCCTCCCCCCACGCTAGGTTTGTATATGATAAAGAGCAAAAGATAAAATAAGAGTCCAGAATTAAATATATTAGAATATATTTGGATCAATTAAACTATATTATTACTCATAATTGATATGCATAAGAGACAACATGTGTTGACAATCTTAAACTATAAAACAGATTGTATGGGCCCTCTAACGTAATTTTTTAAGGAAATTAAGCAACCCCCCAAGATTAATTTTGAAAATCTCTTAGTTTTGTGGAAGAGTTTGGGTGTAAAGAACAAATTATTAAATTATCTAATCCGATTAAAGTATGATAATATAAGTTAACCCCATACAAGAAATTTATTTTAACCAAATTAAACTCATATATAAGTATTATAATTGGCATTAAGATCAAAGAACGTGTGAGATTCTCTTTGACTTTTATACAAACAGTATCTATTTAGATAAGTTTTGTGGAAGAGTTTGGGTGTAAAGAACAAATTATTAAATTATCTAATCCGATTAAAGTATGATAATATAAGTTAACCCCATACAAGAAATTTATTTTAACCAAATTAAACTCATATATAAGTATTATAATTGGCATTGAGATCAAAGTACATGTGAGATTTTCTTTGACTTTTATACGAACAACATCTATTTAAATAATAATAGTATAGTTAAACTTTATGATTTGAAAAGAAATCAAACATACAATATAATTAATTACTTTAAAATAATCTAATCTAATTTAATAAGAAGAAAATAGATGAAAGTACTATAAAAGTTGTTGCAATTTTATAATTCATAATTCTTAAATAATCTAATCTATCTAATAAGAAGAAAATAATAAAGATATATACTTGTTGAATGAGATAAAAGTACTATAAAAATTATTGTAATTTCTTGATCTGAAAAAAAATAAATATATAATATAATTAATAAATTAAAAATAACCTAATCTAATCTAATAACAAAGGCACATGCCTGTAAAAGGAGATAAAAATGCTATAGAAATTATTGTAATTTCTTGGCTTATATATATATATTGGTATATGATGTTGCATGTGAGAGAATAACAATTATAAATAGAGTTATATTTAAATAATAATAGTATAATTAAATTTTGAAACTAACTATACAATACTTTGAACTACTTCAATTTTAATCGGTGAGAGATCGCAACTTTGTGTGTAATTATTAATCATATAGCATGTGAATAATTATTTGCAGATTAGCATTATTAATCATATAGCACGTGAATAATTGTTTATAATTTGATCATTGATCACATATAAGAGCAAGGGGTAAATTTGGCATTTAATAAATCGTCTAATTAACCTAAGCGTACCATTAACTACTTGAATTTTAGTCGGTAAGAGATCGTCACGTTGTGTGTAATTATTAATCATATAGCATGTGAATAATTATTTGCAGATTAGCATTATTAATCATATAGCACGTGAATAATTGTTTATAGTTTGATCATTGATCACATATAAGAGCAAGGGGTAAATTTGGCATTTAATAAATCGTCTAATTAACCTAAGCGTACCATTAACTACTTGAATTTTAGTCGGTAAGAGATCGTCACGTTGTGTGTAATTATTAATCATATAGCATGTGAATAATTATTTGCAGATTAGCATTATTAATCATATAGCACGTGAATAATTGTTTATAGTTTGATCATTGATCACATATAAGAGCAAGGGGTAAATTTGGCATTTAATAAATCGTCTAATTAACCTAAGCGTACCATTAACTACTTGAATTTTAGTCGGTAAGAGATCGTCACGTTGTGTGTAATTATTAATCATATAGCATGTGAATAATTATTTGCAGATTAGCATTATTAATCATATAGCACGTGAATAATTGTTTATAGTTTGATCATTGATCACATATAAGAGCAAGGGGTAAATTTGGCATTTAATAAATCGTCTAATTAACCTAAGCGTACCATTAACTACTTGAATTTTAGTCGGTAAGAGATCGTCACGTTGTGTGTAATTATTAATCATATAGCATGTGAATAATTATTTGCAGATTAGCATTATTAATCATATAGCACGTGAATAATTGTTTATAGTTTGATCATTGATCACATATAAGAGCAAGGGGTAAATTTGGCATTTAATAAATCGTCTAATTAACCTAAGCGTACCATTAACTACTTGAATTTTAGTCGGTAAGAGATCGTCACGTTGTGTGTAATTATTAATCATATAGCATGTGAATAATTATTTGCAGATTAGCATTATTAATCATATAGCACGTGAATAATTGTTTATAGTTTGATCATTGATCACATATAAGAGCAAGGGGTAAATTTGGCATTTAATAAATCGTCTAATTAACCTAAGCGTACCATTAACTACTTGAATTTTAGTCGGTAAGAGATCGTCACGTTGTGTGTAATTATTAATCATATAGCATGTGAATAATTATTTGCAGATTAGCATTATTAATCATATAGCACGTGAATAATTGTTTATAGTTTGATCATTGATCACATATAAGAGCAAGGGGTAAATTTGGCATTTAATAAATCGTCTAATTAACCTAAGCGTACCATTAACTACTTGAATTTTAGTCGGTAAGAGATCGTCACGTTGTGTGTAATTATTAATCATATAGCATGTGAATAATTATTTGCAGATTAGCATTATTAATCATATAGCACGTGAATAATTGTTTATAGTTTGATCATTGATCACATATAAGAGCAAGGGGTAAATTTGGCATTTAATAAATCGTCTAATTAACCTAAGCGTACCATTAACTACTTGAATTTTAGTCGGTAAGAGATCGTCACGTTGTGTGTAATTATTAATCATATAGCATGTGAATAATTATTTGCAGATTAGCATTATTAATCATATAGCACGTGAATAATTGTTTATAGTTTGATCATTGATCACATATAAGAGCAAGGGGTAAATTTGGCATTTAATAAATCGTCTAATTAACCTAAGCGTACCATTAACTACTTGAATTTTAGTCGGTAAGAGATCGTCACGTTGTGTGTAATTATTAATCATATAGCATGTGAATAATTATTTGCAGATTAGCATTATTAATCATATAGCACGTGAATAATTGTTTATAGTTTGATCATTGATCACATATAAGAGCAAGGGGTAAATTTGGCATTTAATAAATCGTCTAATTAACCTAAGCGTACCATTAACTACTTGAATTTTAGTCGGTAAGAGATCGTCACGTTGTGTGTAATTATTAATCATATAGCATGTGAATAATTATTTGCAGATTAGCATTATTAATCATATAGCACGTGAATAATTGTTTATAGTTTGATCATTGATCACATATAAGAGCAAGGGGTAAATTTGGCATTTAATAAATCGTCTAATTAACCTAAGCGTACCATTAACTACTTGAATTTTAGTCGGTAAGAGATCGTCACGTTGTGTGTAATTATTAATCATATAGCATGTGAATAATTATTTGCAGATTAGCATTATTAATCATATAGCACGTGAATAATTGTTTATAGTTTGATCATTGATCACATATAAGAGCAAGGGGTAAATTTGGCATTTAATAAATCGTCTAATTAACCTAAGCGTACCATTAACTACTTGAATTT